ACTGCCTCCGTTCTTGCACGGCGCCATGCCAAGTTGCATCTGGGTGATGAAGCTTGTTCCCCCCCCTTTTTTTTTTTTCTTTTTTTTTGGGGCTGATACTGTTGTGCTCATTCTCCTTCAGTTCCCCTCTGGGAAGCAGAAAGTTTCCTGTCTGTAAAATCCCTGGGGAGATTGATTTATTGCGATTTTACCCCGCATTGCTGTTTACGCTCGGCATTGCGGATGCATCCCAAAATCGATGCCGCTGTTCTCGCTCCTTTTGACAGGCAGCCCCGCGTTCTCCTCCCTGTTTTCCTGCCTTCCCCGCGGTCGCGCTTCTGCTTCTCCAGTTCCCTGTGTAGGAAACTGCACAGGTGAGCGACCAGACCCGGGCGAGGCTGGAAAGGACGCTCTGACGTCCGCCCGCGCGCCGCGGGGCCCCGGTGCGTGCGCTGCAGCGGGAGTCCTGGGTCAGCGCGAGCCTGGGATCGATTTGGCGAGGCTCGCTGTGGTCAGAGAGGGTGATTGGGATTAATTAAACTGCTCTGCCCTCCTGGGCTGCTGACAGTGGAAGCTGCTAAACCAACCGTAAATCTGGCAGCGGGGACTGTGGCTTTGTGACCATCCTGGGCTGAAGTCCAGTCCCAAAACTTGAGGGGGGCGTTGGATTCCTTCAGTTCTTACTAAAACCCTTCAGCCTCTTTCTCGGAGATTTTAGTTCATGCTTTGACAAATCCTGTTGCTGGGAATTAGTTCTGGGAGGATCCATCCATCCCAACCCAAAGAACAGAGGTGACTTTAGCAAGGCAGCCGCGGCATTCTGGGTTAGGATGAAAATGTGGTGGTGATTCTTCAAACTCTGGAGGGAACGTCCGGATTTTTCGTGCTCCTTAACGTTGCTCAGCATTTGCGATGTCTGCAGTTCTCCCAGGTTTTCCCGATAGGCTGCTGTGGTTCTGAATGTTAGAGGAAAAAAAAAAAAATCAGTGAATTTAACTGTATTTAATCAATTATAGCATTTATTTACTGTAGTGTTACTCTTCCACAGCCCCTGTCGCAGTTTAACCTGCCGCCTTCCCGAGCCACGAGCTCGGGGCAGTTCGGAACGCCGGGGGCTGCTTCCCCCGAGCCCTTCCCCTTCCCGGCACTTGCGTTGCGATAATCTCTCCCAGCGTTTCTCGCAATGCTTCATTTTAATGTATATTCCCCTGTCACTGCAGACCTGCGTCCAGCCTCCCGGTAAGCGATGCCTAAATCGCTGCCGCAAGGAGCGAATGAAATAGGGGTGCGCGCGAGGGAGGCGAAGGACGGGGCTGCGTAAGAGAAATCTCGCCCAGCCAGAAGGAATAGCTGCCGCAGTGCCTGAACGCTTCGGCCTCGTGCGTTGGGCTGAGGCTCTTTGGGAGGGAACAAACCCGGAGAAACGCGGCTGGGTCGGCCCAGGCGTTAACACGCTGGGGCAAGCAGCACCCCCGGCCAAAAACCCAGCGAGTGCAGATCGCCCCGAGGCGCCTGGGGAGGAAGCGGGGAAAGCAGCGCGGGAGCCGGTGGTCGGGTGCGGGCGCCGCA